GTGTAAGCTCTCCATGGCTAGTCCTAACGGAAGAGAGGAAGAAAAACCTTCCGGAAAGCCTAACCAGACTGTATACATTTAAATTCAAAATTTCTCATTTTATTATTATTTATTTTAGTTTTTTATTATTAATATAATTAAATATATAATTTCTTTATCTTTAATATTTTTATAAAAATAATAGAATTCAGAAAAAAAAATTAATTTTTAGTGTTGAGGTGGACCAATAAAAAAATTATACAGAATTTCTTTATTCAACAATAATTTTAGAATTTGTAAATTTTCTTAATTTCTTTATACAGTAATAATATTAGAAATTGTAAACTTTTCTTAATTTTCATTGTTGATGTGGACCAATAAAATTGTCTTTTTAAATCCTATGTGAAGAAGCCTATAGCTTCAACTTTTATTAATCTATTCTATTAAAACATAAGCACATTTAGTGCTTGCATCCAAACAGTGCCAAAGTTTTTTTATAATATTTTATTTTATTTTTATATTTAATTTCCGAAAATTAGTTATTAATTTAAATATTTTTAGATTTCCTAAAATCTAGGTCATCTTTAATTTAAATTTCAAATTATTAGAAATTTAATTAAATTTAGTTACAAAAATTTACATTCATTTAATTTAAATTCAAAAATTCAAAACAAATTATAATTAAATTTTATTACGAAAATTTAAAAAAATTATTTTTTGATTTAAAAAAATAAATAACAAAAATATATTATATCTAATAAAAGATAAATGCAACTAATATTAGAAATAAAAAATAAAAGATTTCCGTGCGGAAGCATGGGTTAAAATCTAGTATAAGATTAAAACAGAAGTTCTTTTAGTGTTTGTTTCTAAATACTCCCAAATATTTTTTAAAACTTGTGTTTGGAAACATTTTAAAATTATTTAAATTAATATCTTTAAAATTATCCCAATTTATTGTAATATTATTTAAAATACAGTTTCTTTATTTATATATTGATTTTGAAAAAATTAGATATTAATTTAGATAATTAAAAGATTTGCTAAAATATAGATTATATTTAATTTAAAATTCAAACCATTTTTTGTAATTAAATTTAATTCTGAAAAATAGATTTATTCTATTAAAACAGAAGCATTTTTATTGTTTGCTTCCAAACACTCCTAAAAATGTTTTAATTTTTTTTTTTGGAAACAGTTTTAAAATTATCTTTATTTATTGAAATATTACATAAATAACACATTTTATATATAAAAATAATTCAGAAAATAAGATATTAATTTAGATAATTAAAGATTTCTTTAAATTTATGTTATATTAAAATAAAAATTTAGATTTTTTGTAATTAAATTTAGTTCTGAAAAATAGATATTAATATAAATTACTTTAGACTTCCTTAATTATAGGTCAGATTTAACTGAACATTTGAAATTTAAATAAATTTTTCAGAATAATATATATGATTAATGAATATGTTATTGTATTTTACTAATCATATTCAATCATACTAAACTTTCACATATTGTAAACTGATAAATATTAATATTATATGGTAAGTTGATGAGGCATGTTGGGATTTTTTTTATATGATTATGGTATGATGCTGGCTAGGTTATCAAAACATTCTAGATATTAAGATAAACATTATTTTAAAATTAGTAATTATTTATATTATATAATAATATGAACATGGGGGTTAGAACTATGGTTTTATAACCGAGGTCGTTTTCGGATTAACAGAATGAGTGAGTTAGAAATATGTTTTTATAATAACAGTTATTTTTTTATTAATAGAACGACCGGGTTAGAATTTTATTTTTTTGATCATGGTCATAATAATGCTAAAAAGATTAAAAATTAAATTATATCTAAACATAAAAATAAATCTTTGTTATTTCTTAGAAAAATTACATCTATAATGAAAACGTAAATTACATTACCAATTTTGATTAAAAAAGAAATTCTCGTGCGGATGCAAGAGGTAAAATCTAGTAGTACTTAAAGCTCAATGATGCTTTCTCTTATAACATCCATGGCTCTACATGAGCTCTACGTTTATATCTAGTATCTACTAAACCCACATACAAACCAAAAATCTGCCTATCAGTCATTCTTAAAATACTCAGATTGATTATATGATCAAGTTGCAACTGTTTACTTATAAATAGAAACTGGATTCTATCTCGTGCGTCCACACGGGAAATTTGCGTTTTTAATTTAATTTTATAATGTAGTTGTGTTTTTTATAGATATAATATTTTTTCTAATAAATAACAAAAAATTATTTTTGTGTTTAGAAAAAAATTTAACTTTTTTTTAATAATTTGACCACGAATATAAAAATATAATTTGAACCCTTCTATTCGATTAATCTTTAGAAAACCATGAATATAAAAACATAATTCTACCCATCTGTTCATATTACCATATAATATAAAGATTTTTAATTTTAAATATTTAAATATTTAAATATTTAAAGTAACGTATATCTAAGAAAATTGAAACTAATTGAATTAAAATTTGAATTTTTCAAAATTATTTTTAAAGATAAAATTGATTATAGAAAAAGTATACAATAATATATCATTTATCATCTTTATCATTATGAAAATTTTATTTAAATCTGAATATTTAAATATAACATAAATTAATATCATATTTCCTATTTTTATAAAGATAATAACAACTGATTTTTGTAATTTTGATAAATAATCTAACATATATCTAAGAAAATCTAAAATAATTGAATTAAAATTTGAATGAGTTTTTTCGAAATTATTTTTAAAGAAAATTTTATATATATTATTTTATTAATTTTTTAAAATAAATAAAACTGATAAATCAAATTAAAATATTTGTTTGACAACAGACATAGCAGTTATCAAAATAGTAGAAAACTAAGTACTGTAAATTCTGTTTGGACAGAAACACTTTTTATGTCCAAACAAGGTTTTTTTAATTTAAATTTATTCTGTTTGTGGGTAGATAATATTCATGTTATACATAAATTTATTTTCGAAATTCAAAAATATTAATTAAAATTATTTTAAATTTCCTTATATATAGATTAGATTATCAACCAAAATAAATAATCAGTTATTATCTTTACAAAATAATAAATCAGATATTAATTTAGATTTGATTTGATATACTAATTTAAATAATATCTAAACTATTAAAAAAGTTTTATAAAAATACCAATAATTTTTTGTAAAAAAAAAAAATTCATTATGGATTATGAATTATGTAAATTTATCCATACAAAATAGAAAAAACAATTAATCAGAATAGTGGATATAGTCATGATTCAATTATTCAGAATAGAAAAAACAACCAATAATGTTTTTGAAAAAACAATTAATCCATACAAAATAGAAAAAATAAAAAATAAAGAAAAAATAATGTATGCTCTCATTATGGATTAAATTTTAGAAAACTAAAATTTTTTTAAAAAATTATATGAAATAAAAAACCTCTACTAATTTAATTTTATCTCTATCTAATTTAAATATCAGAATAGTGGATATGGTCATGATTCGATGGGTTAGATCCGTTTATATTTTTTTTCAATTTCTAACCTATCGAAAAAGACAGTCTATGCTAAATAAAATATCGTTCATACATCTCAAAATGTTAATAAATATTTATATTATACGATAATATGAATGAACGAGTTAGAATTATGCTTTTATAATCATGGTTTTTTTTAGATTAATATGGACAGACGGGTTATTAGAATCGCGATCATCTTTAATACTATAAAAAAAATTATCTACAAAAAAAAATTTATATAAATACAAAAAATAAATATTTTTACTTATCAGAAAAATATACCTATAAAAATAATTATATTTAAACTCAAAAAACATAAATTATATTATGAAATTCGCAAAACACGGAAAATCCGCTAGAATCTAATCTATTCTAGTATAAAAAACGAAAATGGATCGAGCTTCTTCTGCTATTTTTAATAGTTTCCGTTTCTTAATAATATATAATATAATCGCCAATTCGCCATTAAGGTTCAATCGCCATTTCGCGATAGAATGCAGTTTTTTTTTGGGTTGTAGAATGCAATTTATCTACAACAATAATGCAGGTCAACGATTTGGCTCGCCTTTAAGAGGCCTTTTTTCTCCCAACTCCCCTAGCCGCCGGTCTCCTTCCTAGTTTTCTTCGTCAGCCCTCTCAGGTTTCCAGCGCGCTTCGCCGGTGCCGTGAGAGGGCCCTCTCTTTTCGCTTTTTCTTTTGCTCGGTCTTTCTCTCCGCAGGTTGCCTTCTATCTCGGTCCTGTTTGGTGTGTCGGTGGTCTCACCGGCGAAGCATCTCGGAGTCGCCGCTGGCGGTTGTCGACAGCCCTTGCAGATCCGGTCCAAAAAAATTTTAATATGAAGACCCTTTAAAAAAAAATAATGTAGGTCAACAAATTAAAATAAAGTAGAGTTGTTTGGGGATTCGGCGAGAGATATGCGTGCACGTTTACGACAGATTAGATTGAATTAAACTATTAATTAGATTAGTTTTTTACTAATAGCAGAACGAGGATCGTGGATGATAGCTGGATTTTTCTCCTTTTTCTCTATTTTTATTTTTCTTTTCTAGACTCAGTCACTCATCAGAGCCTCAGAGGAGGAGGAAGGCCTTTTTCTTGCATCTTCATTCGCACGTGCAGATCAAACTTTTTGAGATATAATCTAGAGTTTTTGAAAATTTTTTTGTTTGGTTCTTTTAAAAATCTAGGGTTAAATAGTTTTTAGATTTTCTACGGAAATTTTGTAAGATAAAACTTGTTTCTCATTCAAAAGAACAAATTTGTCTGTTTGTTTTGTATTTTAAAATCAGAGATTATATAAAACTGATGTATCATGGAAATACACACCAACTACCTACTCTCCCGTGACCCGTCCTTATTTAAATATATTTTCGCAGGAAATAGGTTTGTCTTTTTCAGCAATGTTTGTTTTCCTTGGCCTACCTTTGCTTATATCTAATATGATTGGTTTGAATCTTAAACACATTTTTTGGTAACAAAAACCAGCAAAACAAATGGATACAAAACACCTCCCCTCGAACTTAAGAGACGACATGATAAGCGAAGAAACAAAGAGTTTGATCTCTTCGCTTCCTTCACACACTGATGCCCAAGGGGGCAAGATTTGCAAGTATCAAGGATGTTGGTATCACTACAATACTCTCCAAGGCGTTCTTAATTTTCAGAGAGGTTTTCAACCACAAGACACAGATATCATCCTTGCTTCTTACCCCAAATCAGGCACCACTTGGCTCAAGGCCCTCACAGTAGCCCTCTGCGATAGATCAAACAACCATTCTTCTTATGATCACCATCCTCTACTATCTGTTAATCCTCATGGCATTGTACCATTCTTGGAGCTCAATATTTATCACGAAAGCTCAAGTCCTGACCTGGCCAAGTTCTCATCAGTTCCGAGGCTGTTCGCAACTCACATGCCACTGCACGCGATGCATGAGACTATCAAGGACTCTCCTTGCAAGATTGTGTACATATGCAGGAACGTGAAGGACACACTGATCTCATGGTGGTTTTTCAAATGCGCTGTTTATAAAACAGAACTAAATAGAAGTAGTCTCGAGTCTATATTCAAATCGTTCTGCAACGGAACTTTTTCTTATGGACCTTTTTGGGAACATCTCTTGAGCTACTGGAGAGGAAGCCTGGAAGACCCAAAGCGTGTTCTTTTTATGAAGTATGAAGAGATGAAAGAGAAGCCTCATGATCAGATTAAGAGACTTGCGGATTTCTTGGGTTGTCCATTTACTAAGGAAGAAGTGAAAAATGGATTGGTGAACGAAATCCTGGACCTTTGCTCTCTGCGTAATCTTAGCGGTTTGGAGATTAACAAAACCGGGAAAATAAACAACATAGATCACAAGGTTTTTTTCCGCAAAGGAGAAGTTGGAGACTGGAAGAATTATCTAACTCCTGAAATGGAGAATCAGATAGACACGATCATCCAAGAGAAACTCCAAGGTTCTGGTTTGAAATTCTAGAGTTACGTGTGTTTATGGTTTGTGTGTTTCTTTGATGGTGCAAAATAAGAATACCTTCCGTTGTTATATTTTTATTTTTAAAATGTATTTTTCTTTTCTCTTTTCCATTGGAATTCACCTCGGGGAATTAGGAATCCTCCTTCGAGAAATTCAGGGACTTTGCTCCATCCCAGTATCTCCATTCTCGAGCAGCACCAAATCTGCAGATAGGATTAAAGATTTCTGAGTCGTGGAATTTGATTTGGGGGTTTTAGATTTTTAGGGTTCTTGGGATTTCTGGGTTCGTGTTTGTTTTAGGAATTTTAGTTTCGGATGGGTGGGCTTTTGATGTAAGACTCAGAATCCACAAAGACTTACACACGAGAATCAAGTTTTAAAGCTGAGATATGGTTGGTGAATAGGCGATGAGTAACCGGTGTTTGTTTGATTCCAAAAACAAGTAGTATCCAGAGGCTTACTCCCAAGGGCTATTCCTCGCGAGCTATGGCTATGATTGGTGATAGTGTTAGATTTGAGTTGAAGTTGATGTTGTAATTCGATTTAACTTGTAGTAAAATTATGTGGTAGAAACTGTAGATTTATGTGGTAAATTTGCTGTAAAAATATAAATCAAGTTTTTGTCAAAATAGTTGACTGGTAACTTTTTTGCTGTATAAAATGCAGTATACATTATTTAAAATAAAATAAACTTCTAATTATTAATAACAATTATATTTATTACGAAATTTAATAAAAAATAAAGTTATACTAACTTAAAATATATTAAATAAATAAAAATATATTAAATAAAAAATTTAATAACTAAAAAGTTAACTACGTACATTCCAAATCATATTTGCAATCTCATCTCGTACGTTATTCATATATTGGCCATCAAGTGTTGCTTCTTCTTCCTCGAGTCTTCTAAGCTCTTCTTCTTCAAGTCGTCGTCTACGACTATCTCGAGTAATCTTTTCTTCTTCTTCAAAATCAGCATCTGGAATTTTGTAACGTCTAATAAAATTGTGAAGAACCATAGTAGCATGCACAATTCTATTTTGAGTCTTGACGTCGTATCGAGGCAAATTATCTAGAATCCTCCATTTTTTCTTCCAAACTCCAAATGTGCGTTCGATTACAGAACGAAGTGATGCGTGCCACCTATTGAACAATTCTTTTTTGTTCCTGGGAGGACCTTCATTAAATTCTGAAAGATGGTATCTGATAGTTTCTCTACTATTTCCTCTATACGGCGCCAAAAATCCTCGCTTGTTTGCATATCCAAAATCAACAAGATAGTACTTGCCTATTGGAGGTTTAGGGAATATTAGGTCTCCATCTATTGCATATTGTAACACCAATGAATCGTGTGTAGACCCAGATGCGCCTAACCATGCATACTTGAAGAGCATGTTTATATCACATATGCCCATTATGTTTAGACTTGTTTGTCCATGTCTATCCCAATACCCAACTGAATCGCGACCTCCAACTTTTACTCTGACATGCGTCCCATCAAGTGCCCCAACAAATCCACTAAAAAAAGGCCAATAATTGGGATTATTTTGTAACTTACGTGGATAATGCTGGAGTGACGCTGTTGTTGGAGTTTTTAAATACTCACATGCAAGACTCTCCAATGCGTTCAATACCTCGTGAAACTTTCGATAGATAGTCTCTTGGGAACGACCAAATGACAACCCAACATAGCGTTGTGTATCATTTTGATCGCATGTAACGAGAAATTAGTCAACAATCAGTCAACAAAAATCTCATGAGTTAGAATTTCTTGTTCCATTTAAATTAGTCAACAATCTGTTCCTAAAAATCTTCAATTGTTGATTTTATTTAATATTTTTCTTTTAAAAAAATGCTATTTACACAGAATTATGTGTGTATATATACATGTCTTTTGTTCATTGACATATACACATTCCTCACACCTGTTAGATTGTAGCTGCATGCTACGGCACCTCCTCTTGTCTTCAATTTTGACCACCAAAATACAAAGGTTTTACATTCTTCATTTTATTTATTTTGTTACTCTATCATTGTATATTCTCTTCTTATTTCCATCGGATAGCTAAAAATATACCTTTCAATTTGAATCTTGATTCATTAACGTTACATATTTGTGTGAAAATATTTGTTTATATTTCTTTATTATATTACTAATTTATTATGTTTTTCTTTGATAAAGATGTCTAATGATGGTGGTGTTGATGGTGCTGCTGCCGATGATGTTGGTGGAAGTATACGTCGTAAGGTAATTTTTAAGTGACATGCTAAATTTTAAACATAGGAATATATAGTATTTAATTTTGTTGAAATAAATTATAGAAACAAAAAAAAATAATGTGGAGCGATGAGCAAATTGGGATATACTTGGAGCTTCTCGATATTGAATTGGCCAAAATAAGATACAAGCAAAATTTGCCTAAAGAAGTTGGAAGAGAAAGTATTTGTAAAGAATTTTTTGGGAAAACTGGTATAGATCTTCCTTGGGATTCTTTCAAAAGTAAATACGACACCTTGAGAAATATGTATGGGTCGTATAAGAGGTTGGTGAATTTTACCGGAGTGTCAGCAGACCACAACACTGGTTTGATTGATATGGATTCTGAATGGTGGGATGACCGTGAAAAGGTATTATTTTTTATTCTAAAGTTTAAAATTAATTTATTGTTATTGATAGTTATTAACGTTTACATTATATATTTTGATTGAATTTTGCAGGAAATACAATATGCAAAACAAATTCGTGAAAATGGAATCCCACATATGGAGCTTATGAGTCGTATATTTGGCCGTCAAGGCAGTAAACCAGAAGCTATGTACCCGACTCATATGCAAGACGCAAAGAGTGCTGAACAAGATGAGAGGGTACCAGAAACCCAAGATAAGGATGCAGATGATTCAAACATTATTCTTACAAGTGATGTGCAATTACGGCCACAAACCATCTCACTGGAATCTCCTCAAGCATCGCCTATTGGTCCATCAAAGCGGTCAGCTAGAAAACAATATGTTCCTAAAAATCTCAACATCAACAATCTGTTCGTAAAAATCTCAACATCAACAAAAATCTCATGAGATTTTTGATTCAAAGTCAAATTGTTTGAAGCAAAAACAAAGGGGATTCGTATTTCTTTCAAGCGTGAATACAAATGAAAGAGGGGAAGAGCTTATATAGTGATCGACTACAGACATAACGGTGACTAAAACTTAAACAAGAAAGAAAATCACTCGAAATAAATGAAAACAGAGCTGCTTGATGTCGTTGAAGATAATCTACCTGTTGGGCATTAATGTGGAAGTTTCTAGACTTGTGGCTAGAGAGTGGGGGGGGAGAGGTATGGGGGGTCGAGATCATCAGAGAATTCCAAGTGGTGGTCGTTTTGTTTAAGTAAAACACACACATTCCCAAATAAGGCAAGTTGCTTATGACTCAAGTTGTCAAAACGATATAGCTCTGGTTTTAGACGTCATCTCTTGTGATATGGTGGTTCTATATCTTTGGTAGCTTCAGTAGACTTCAGAAGACATGAGGATAAATTGCTGGTGTGAGCACGAATCAAACTTTCCTTATATGAACTCATTTGGACCTGCCAGAGAATAGTGGAGGTCAAAGGTGGATCCGGGTCAATCCAGGTTGGATCTTCAGCTGGTGGACTCCATAAGAGGCTCCAGTGGATAGGTCGGGTCGTCATTGGATCAGGCCATGGTGGCCTTGGGCTGAAGCACATAATTTCTTGCTCATATGACTTATTGGGTGGGCTGTAGAGCTTTGCAAGGATTTCTACTGGTCTGGACTAAAACCAAAGGAAATGCTATGATCTTCCATGATCTATTGGTGGATGAACATCTGGTTTTAAGGCTTGGTTCACCAGTTTGATCAGCAGTGGTGGTGATTTGGCTGATACACGACTCTCGGATAAAAAACACATTTTCTTTTATATATAAATTTAATTCCAAAAATTAGATATTAATTTAGATAACTAAAGATTTCCTGAGATATATGTTATATTTAATTAAAAATTCAAAAAAATGTTTGTAATTAAATTTAGTTCTGAAAAATAGATATTACTTTAAATTACTTTAGACTTCTTTAATTATAGTTCAGACTTAATTTAACATTTGAGATTTAAATAAAATTTTCAGAATAATACATATGATTAATGGATATGTTATTGTATTTTTTTAATCATATTTAATCAGACTAAAATTTTACATATTGTAAACTGATAAATATTAATATTATATGGTAATTTGATGGAATAGGTTAGGTTTTTTTATATAATTGTGGTCTTATACTGGTTAGGTTATGAAAACATGCTAGATATTAAAATAAAATAAATATTTATACTATATAGTAATATGAACATGCAGATTAGAATTTATACTATTATTTGCGAAGTCAGATATCCTATGTGTCGTTTCCACAGCGATTCGCTTATGTATCATTATTAAAAAAAAATTATGTGGCGTTTTAATTAGTTCTGATAGGACGATCACTAATCCTACGTGTCAATATATGTGACATGAGGGCCATCGAGTTTGTTCATGGTCCAACAATTTTGTTCTTGGTCAAAGCCAACAAATCTGTTAAATGAGCCACCAACATAGAAACCCTAAACCCTAAAGCATTAATCCTACTCTATATATGATGTGATCCTCCCAAAGATCGGCACAAAGAGGCTTGAAAGAGAGATAAAATAGAAACAGAAGGTGCGGAATAGACTTCTGTTCTGAGATATAAATCGATAAAGATGTTGCTAAGCAACGAATCGATCACAAAAGAGAGATAAGAGAGGATAAAGATGTTGCACAAAGCAACGAGTCACTCTCAAAGATAGATAAGAAATGATAAAGATGTTGCACAAGACAACGAATCACTCTCAAAAAGATAAAGAGAAGTTTTCTCACAGTTTTGATAAGAGAAAGGGTTTTGATAAAAAGAGTTTGATTAATTTTTGGTGATCCAATCCAGGATAAATAATCCTGAGATCTTACATGAGTTTATATAGGAAATAAGATGTAGAAAACAAAGCAATTTCGTAACTAAGCAAAAGACTAGTCAAAACATTAACTTCAGTGTTGAATAACTCTTGATCTACTTTGAATCTTGACTAACTCTTGAACTTCTTCTTCACTTGAT